TCAATGGTTCTCTAACTGATATCAATCCGTGATCAACTCGTAAAACATAACTAACCCTTACAAACCAAACTATAGAAAACCAATGTCTTTGTCAAGTTGTTTTAAACAACTTATCTCTGAGGATGCTGTGACACCATCGGCGTCCAACTTGTCCGCGCTGTTGTCGGTATCATGTCGAGTAGCAAAGATAAAGTCACAATAACTTGATTGAATCCATTCCAGTACTCTAACGGTTACTTATGCCCCCTCCCCTTGTTAGCTTTGATTATAATATTGTAACGACAGAAGAGACAAGGGCCAAGCAACAGATTGTTTATTGAGAAAATCAAAAGATATTGCTAGATTTTTATGTACATTATTATTCGTGTTACTGTTAGCAGAGAAGCAATGTCTTATGATTGGTTGTTTTCCTGATGAAGGTCGAGTGTGAGGACAAATACTCGCCAGCGGAGACATTGGCTAGCGGTTGCGCTATATCGTGAATTGTCAGAAGTTAGGATTCGTGGGCCATTGGATCGGGTCCCAGTGGCTTAATGGTCTACGAGCTCGCCTTGTAACGAGATGGTCCTCGGTTCGAATCCCAATGAGGCGGGTGCGTACTATTGAGGAGTCCTAAACCAGACTGACGAAACGGCTGTCCAGTACTCCCAGGTTTTCCAATAGTTCTCCAACCAATACCAGTTCACGATGAAATCCTGTAACCAATCAACCAAATCCCTACAAACCAATACTTAAATATGAAGGTTTTTCTGTCATCTCTTTGTTGCCGTTTCTTAGACAGTCCGTTGATATATCTGCGAATCGTATCCACCCACGTTGAGTCTGTTGTGGTTGGTTGTTGAATTCCTCAAAATTAGGCCTTGTTCTTGCCTTATCTCTGGTGACTCCGATTCGGGAGGTAACATTGACGTCAATTGGTGTCTACCGATTTTGGCTAGCAGACAGTGTATGATAAACGATGCTTTTGTCACCGTCACCGGTGTATCGATGATGCAATTAGAGACGAGTAGTACCATCAAGTGAATAAATTCAACCAAGCGTGGTCCAATAGACATCGTAGTGTTAGCTAGGGATGTGAATGGACATGTGTAAGGTGTCTAGGCTTACAGGAGACAAGATAGTTGCAGACCGGATAATAGAGACAGTCTTCTGAATATATATGCATCAACTTTGAGCATAGTAATTATGATTTCGCTACCCATCAAGCACAGCCTGAAATAGATCACACTGTCATCAGCTATCAAAGGTAAAGCTGAATACAAAGGACTAATAAACAGATAGAGACTTAAGCAAATTGGTTGCACAGACTTCCCTAGTTAAACATCGAAACGGGCTAGGTATATAGTACTGATTACCGATAGCGTAATGAGAACAGACGAACACCCCGACTCCACCGACTTCAGCAAGCTATGAAGTTGTGAAAGAAGTGACTTTTGAGGTGAGAAGAATGCCCAACTAGCCAACTTGTTGGCATCCATCATTCTATTGCGGTGTGAGATGAGTAGAAAAATCTCCTCGAAACTGTGACACGTAAAGTCATATAGGGCTTGCATAAGGACCCTAGGACTTAGTAACAGTCGAAGCACTTTCTCAGGTCACCAAGACACCAGTAACAAAAGGTATGATGCGTGTGAAGCGAAAATTGTTACGCTAATTAGTGATTTGAGAAAACACTCATAGCGTTTGATAAAGTATTTTGAAGGGCAGGACTACATTAGTTGGTATACATAGTTCCACTTAACGAGGCAGAATCCTGAAGAGAACTCTCAGTACTCCAGGGAAATAAGGTATCTGACCTTACTCCGCACTTTTCGGAGATGACGAGTAGACACCCTAGTCAGGGGAATTGACTGGAGTGTTTGAGAAGGTATAGGAGTTTGTGACTGTCCTGTATGAGGATTTATAACCACTGTCGCGTTTCACAAATTCCATAAAAATTGTAAGAAACTAATCTGTAAGGGAAGGTTGGATTTTGTTTAATGACGTGGAAGCATTGAAGGCATGTCAACCCTCCATAAAAGTTGTTAGGACACCACTACTAGTATTGTGTAGATGAACGATTGTCGTATTTCTTGATACTACGGCTAACTTCAATTCGATGTATGTGACTGTTCTTTGGTGTCTCCGAGATATCTGTCAGAATACCAAAAGCTCTATTAAAAATGTTGCTCCAGGTAGGATTACAGTATACAGCCAGTTATCACTAGGTATCACGATTAATGGCATAGTTGGATTTTTTTTCCTTCACGTTCCCCAGTGGAACATAGGGCTTCAAGCTAGAGGCTTGAAGATTCTGTAGCAGTGTTTATTTTTACAGGATGGGGTTGCTAGCCTCATACCCAAACTTTCCTCTTTACCAGCATTATTTCTGGCTCAGCGAGGGAAAGGAGTGCGTCGGCCGGAGATCGAACCCCGGACCATGTGCATGGTTGGCGAGCGTCCTAACCGCTATACCACCGACGCTCATAGTTGGATTAGGCTGCTCAAATTCCTCAGTTTCCTTCACCAATAACGTCTCGATATGGTGGCGGTAGTGCATATTAGCTTCCTTAAAAAAGACTATTTAACTTTGAGTATGCCTACTGTGAGACAGTTTGTACATAATACTCAAACCTCACTTAATTAGATGGCAGTCAGTGTCTGTAAATGTCGTATGTGCTTTGCAACCAGGCCAATTCCCAGTAGTACTGCAATCTTAAGAGGAAGGCAGAGGGACATATGACTGACTGACTGGTTTCAACGCAGAACAACTTTGCACAGATGTACAGCAATACCAGTTGCCACACTCTCTCCCCATATAGCACACAGAGCACGAGAAGAGAGGAAAGACAGATTCAAAAGAGAGATAATAAACACAAATGTGAGTGGGGGAAAAAGAATAGTAATATGGAAGAACAATAGAATTTTATTGGATATGACTAGCAAATCACAAAGAGTGAATGCATCTGCACCAGCTATCACCGAGAACAATTTTGAGCCAGTCACATTACCAATTGTCTCCAGCCTTCAATGGTTCTTACCATCCCGAGGATCTCAACCAGGCAGTCGGGCAGTCTACACCTCCCTACGTGGCTGGCTGACTTGAACTAACTGTTGTGGATTTCATTGACTGATGAAGCCATGTTTTGGTTTGACCATCACCACTACTAGCTAACTCTTCTCCAACCTGATCCATCCTATGTCAGTCAGCTAACAGTTCTTGTTGTGAAGGAAGACGATGGCTTGGCATGTAAGAGTAACACATATCCTAGCTACCTCAATTGATGCAGCTGCTTCACAACCTCATCGATTGATTCCCCCCCCCCCTTACCTAGCCCTCGACCAATGCCTAACGAACTTAATATTGCTCACCTTATTGTACCACTTAACACACACGGGAGACAGAATGCAGACAACTATGACCAAAGACAGCTAGCTACACTTTTCACATCTTCCACTTTCAACGGCCATGTCTCGTTCACAGATATAAAGGAAGGTAGAGTGAACTGACACTGAGCAGTAAACACGTCCTTTGGTCGACAGACAGTCAGACAGCCGGATATCACGTCTACTAAAGCCAGAGGTGGAGTAAGTTGATGTATGCCAAACAAGCCTTCTGTTTCAATGCTGAGATTTCTTCAGCGACCAACCCACTGGCGTTTGCTAATCCAACTTCTTAAATAACTGAAATGGTTAACACGCTCTGCCATTTCACTCCCTATCTTTAAGCTAGGAATGAGTCGATGTAATCCAGTCCTGTAGCATCATTTTACATTTGATAAAGGGAGCAAATCGGATGTCAAACATTGGATGGTTACCGCCAGCTGAATTACCTTTGGCTCTACTGCAATATCAGTGTGACCGTCAAATTTTGTGTTTATAACGCTTTAATGAACCCTCTTAACTATACACACCCAATGAACCTGATTTCGCCAAGCTGACACAATGTGAAACACCCCTGTGTTCGATTGTCCCTGTTTCCATAGATTTGTTTGAGTGTACTGATGATAGTGTGTAGTGAATTCGAAAGTTAGACGGAGTGTTTTGGTACATTAGAGAGTATCTTTCAACAAGTAATATCATCATGAGGGACCGGATTTTATTGCAAGGATATGAAATACACATGTAATCCCAACAACTCAAGTATCGCCCCCAGGTTGTTGGTACTAGGAATGACCAATAAAAGCGGAGAAATGGAAAGCGCATATAATGTGACGCTGTAGGATGAAGGAATAATGTGTCCAGTTAGCATCTCTTGGCGAGTGATGACTCGGGATCGAAGCCGATAGCAGATATGCTATACTTTGCTTGTCTTTTCTACATTTAAAGGAGATATGCGATCAACAGTGCTGCTTTTGATTCTACTTTATGTGTATTCTTACCCGTGCTGGATTTTTACTTCCCAAACTAATACATATGCACTCATATTGTTCAGTGCAGTAAATATTAAAATTTAATGATTACCTATTCATCTACTTAAAATCAGTTAAGTAGCATCGTGAATATTGACGAAAGAAAAGAAAATCGAGTAAAATGTTACATGATGGGTAGTCTTCGGTCGGATGCGTCTATCCATAACAGCATTACATACATGTCTTGCATCCCACTGCTAGCCAATATCTATCAATGATCGATATTACATGAAAATAATAGTGAAACTAATAATGATAACATAAAAAATAGAGAATATAAGACATCTATAGTAGTTTTGCCACATAAGGAGGAGATATCTGAAACCCTCCTTACGTAGGATTCTCAATAAAGCAGGAATTAGGGTGAAATTCAAACTTAAAAGCTCGCTCAGGTAGGACAAGCTCTCTAGGTTAAAGGATCCTGGAGGTTGATGGAGGAAACAGCCGGCTGTCCAGTACTCCCTCCCAGCTGGGTTTTCAATGATTCTCTAACCGATGCCAGCTACCTCATGATGAAATCCTGTAACCAATCCATCAAACCAATACTTGAAAAACATTAATTAAACACAACAACACACACACACAGAGGCAAGCATTAGAATTCCTTACCTTTGATTATCAAGTATATGCATTTTTCTCTTCATCTTATCCTTCTTTGTCGTTGTAGTGTACGGTTCAGACGACCGTCGATCTGAAGACCAACCTGAATTATGTATTAAATTGTGCGGTAAAAATCGACTAGCTATTTTATCCACTAAACCTGTAGAACCTGAACCAATTGTAGAATCACGAGGATCTTTCAGCGGATGACTTTGACGACCACCTGATGATGATGATAATGAAGTCATCGGTTGTTGTTGTTGATGAATTATAGGATCTTTATTATTATTATTACCGTTGTCATAACGATGGCATGAACAATTACAGTCAACACTGCTCCTAACGTTATTATTAATATTATTATTATTATTACACGCCGATTTGAAGTGTTCATTCGCCAATGACTGTTCTACATCTGACTCCGGACTTGAGGCTGAAAATGTTCCAGTCGATGAAAGTGAACATACGGATAATGGTGATGGCGAGCGTTTCTTGTTTTCATCAATGTCGACAAAATGAACACGCTCCGTATTACCATTACTATTATTATTATGATTATTCGATGACAAATCACCACGAATAAATTCTCGACCATCTTGACAACTTGACGAATGAATACCAGACTCGAAAGAACCACTACTTTTGTAGATATTATTATTACTTCTACTACTATGATTAACGTTATGTGGTATACTGACATCAACACCTGAAGGGATTTGATTGATATTTTCAGGCTGAGATGAGTGTTGTTGTTGTCCGCTTTCCTGCCGGTGATGATGGTGGTGATGACGATGTCGATGACCTAAAATAACTGAATGCAAGATATCCTTAGCAGTGACCATTCCAACTGGTTGACCGAACGGTTTTGTGGCTATAGCACATGATGCACTGCTTTTCCGGGTATCGAACATTATCAAACATGGCGCCTAAATGAGAGGGAAAGAAATATTAAGATTTATTAACGGTAACAATATTATATATATATATATATAAAACAGTTAGTCCCTTTTATAAATTCTTTTTTTGTCACTTTGTTTAATTTAACTTTTCCATATATATTGACTTGACAAGTAAATGTGTGAGTGATCAGACTGTTCGAAATGTATAGCGCAAATACATCGCATTTTTCAGATAATCTCCGTCTTCTAATAATGCTATCAAAAAATATATATATAATAGTATGAAATACTATGCATGCATATGGTCCGGGGTTCGATCCCCGGCCACCGACGCACTCCTTTACCTCGTTAAGCCAAAAATAATGCCGGTAAAGAGGTAAGGTTGGGTGTGAGGCTAGCAACCTCATCCTGTAAAATAAACACTGCTACAGAAACTTCAAGCCACTAGCTTGAAGCCCTCTGTTCCACTGGGAACGTGATGGAAAAAGAAAATAGTATGAAATGCAATTAAAATATTTGTGATTATAATCATAGTTAAATGTCAAGTGGCAAGTGGCAAAACAATTAATGTCATATATAGAATAATTCATAAGATGTATAGATACATGTTGGAAACGGGATGCATAATTATAGGATTAGTAGGCAAATATTAAATGTTATATAGCGTGGTATGAAATTTGATGAGATAGAATTCAATATTGCAAAACATTTTTGGATTTTACAGTGACAAGTGGGACAAGCGGAAACAATTCAAATTGAGAATGGTAATAATAATAATAATAATAATAGTCGTAGTAATGAGGGAAAGGCATATACAATAATTAAATAAACAAAATACATAAATAAATGAATGTCTATCCCTCTACGGCCAAGGCAGAAGTAGGGATTGTACATACTTCTTTCGTAGACAAAGTTTTGGCTTAAAGTCATCAATGGCCAAGTCTTCCGCTGTCTTTAGAAGCCTGTAACGAAGAATACGCGGCCGGCAAGTTAGCATGGAATCGGTAGATGTTCTTAAAGTCATGGTCAGGGTTGGCAGAGTGACAGGATTCGATCAGGTGTTCTAGAATAGAGCTTCGTACACCCTTCCTTCCTCCCTTGTAAAACCATGCTGCTGGAACATGTTCTCTTATCCATGTGGGAAGAGTCCTCTGACTACGGCAAATGTACCTTGCTCCACAAGAGCAGGTGAACTGATAGATGCACATGGAGGCGGCTTGATCACCTTTGAATTCCAAATTCATGAATCAAGGTTTTCTTTGGAACTGAGTCGGTGACCAGTTTAGACTGCTTATCTTTCGTGTTCCTGTCAATAAATCGGTTAGGGTAACCGTTTTCGGCGAACGTAGCTTTTAAGAAGTCAAGTTCTGAGTTAACGCAATCAGAACTACGTATATTTCTTATCATAAAGCAGAGCGAACGAATTCGGTTCCTTTTTCCTGGAGATAGGCACCCAACTATAAAAATTAGTTAGTTGTCTGTTCCATGTACGTTTCCGGTGGATGGATCTTTTGAGAGATCCGTCATTACGTCTCCTAAGGCACACATCAAGAAACGGAATACTTAGTTCAGATTCCTTTTCTTGATGTATGCCTTAGTAGACGTAATGACGGATCTCTCAAAAGATCCATCCACCGGAAACGTACATGGAACAGACAACTAACTAATTTTTATAGTTGGGTGCCTATCTCCAGGAAAAAGGAACCGAATTCATTCGCTCTGCTATAAATGACATTACTTGTTTTGCTACTTGACATTTATCTATGACACATAAGATTAACGGATGATGATAAGAGAGGGGTTGAAATTATAAGTAAGGGGTCGTGGTAGTGACATCATCAATTGGTTATGTTTTAATAGGCCAACAAGGGAGGAATAATGGCTGTGTACGAACTTCTTTGGAATGCATAGTTTAGGCTTTATAGTTCGAATGCCTATCACCTCAGCTATATGCAGCAGACGAATACGAAGTTCATTGGAAGGATTCGGTGGGATACGATGAATTACCACTTCGAATTCGATTGATGGATGGTAACTAGCAGTGGAATCCAGGACAACGCGCATTTTGTCCTGTTTGGGACTCGCCAGCTAGATGTTCCCACAACCCGCAGTCAGTGATGATGTTCCACCGAGGCTCGAACCCAGTGCCCAAAGTCTCACTGGGGAATGTAGGTACATCCAGCCGACGAGTCCCAAATAGAACGAAATGCGCATCCTGGATTCCACTGCTAGTCACCATCCACCAATTAAATTCTAATTATATGCCCAGACATCGTCGAAGCATCTGCACAAGAAGCCGATATGTCAACCTGAGACCGAGCACTTCAGTCCAATCAATCGACGGGAAAATCTAAAATTCAATTAAATACCACTTTGAATGTTTTCATTTTCTCCAATAAATGACCACTATCAACTAAATATGACAGAATGGAGCTACAGATTGTTTTTGTCTTTTCTTTTCCAAACCGCGACAGGAGATGTTCAGTAACACTCTTTAGCTGACTAAGCTGTCTAATAGTATTGTGCCCAAAATAACTGTCACCGCGAGTGCAGTTGAACTGATAAATAAACATAGAGATATGGCAAAACTATGTAGCTTATCCTTCGTTTGAGTCCCAATCATTCCTCGGCTTGAGAATGATAAACATAGATAGGCTTGCTGCGTAAAAAAACTTTCTTCGTATACTCCTGGAATGTCTCTGGAATAAAATCTCACTTGACAAGTCACCATTAAATTGTAACTTAATAAATAGAGGTTTTATTATGTGCAGGCATAGTCTCAGGTTTTCTCTCCAAGGAATCATGATTATATATGCAAATTCCTTTTGTAAGTGGTCATCTGTACATACCTTTCGTGCTCTCCTCGTAAAACCCTTAACAACATTTCTTTCATATTTAATAGGCACGTAACTCTAAAGAAGTGTGTGTATTCCCCTGTGGATATACACGCTTCTCCCAAGTGACCCATCTTCCTCTCACCTACTTATCAAGACCATTCAGAAAATGCGGTTTATTATCATGCACCTTTTTTCACAAGTAAAAGTAAGCGAAGGGTGGATGTTATTGAATTTCATCAACAATTCGTTTATGTCTGCACTCCCATTAACTAAGATAAATGTATAATTGACACAACGGCTGGATACATAGGACATTCGTCGTAAAACATATCCCACACCACTTTCGAGAACACCTCCTAGTTTAGCTGAGAAAAGAAGAGCGCAAAACCCATGAATTCATCAATATTGCAATATAAAGTAGACAGTGATCACGTAGTATCTGATGCATCCTTTAGTAAAGGCTAAAAAGTCCGGCGGAGTTTTGCAGGAAGGAAAACACAAGTGCATTTGTTTCGCTTAGTGGATGTTTCAACTCGGATTTAGTAGTCCCAACTGTTTAACCTACATTTGACTTTGTCTATTTCATTCTGTGTATTGTTTAGTTATGTGTGTAGTAATTACGAAATTGAGAAACACACAAAAGAATAAAAAGTTTTTATTTTTATTATATCTAACGGTATGGATCATGTCCTCTTTACCATCTTAATTTCTACCAAATTAGTTACACTTTTGCTGTATTAGTGCCTGGCAAGCATTTTTTTCATTTCCTTTGTGTTACGAGTGGAAAATAGGGCTCCAAGCTTCGTAGTTTCCGTAGCTGGGGTGTTTCTTTTTACAGGAAGGGGGTGGTAGCCTCAAATAGCACACCTTCTTCTCTCTTCATTGAGTTAACTACCGGCTTGTCGACGTTTAGGATTGCGTCCGCCGGGAATCGAATGCGGGACCACGTGTGACGTGGTTGACGAGCGTTCTGCCACTGCCACACCGACGCACAAATGTGTCATCGGTAATGAGTCGGTGTGTAGAGTATCAAAAACTAGCAACACCTAGCATTTCCACAAGCCGGTCCCAGACCCAACGTCGCTTAACTTCAGTGATCGGGAGAGGACCAGTGTTTCTAAGGTGGTATGGTCGCTGAAAAGTGTATGTTGGAAGGAGAATACAAACGCACGCTCACATTGTGGATCATATGAGAAGAGAGCTGGCAACCTGTCTTCATATTACTGACTAGGTGAACCACACGTAGAAGTGTAACCAACTGAGTTGTACTACAAGAGGTTTATAGTCAAAAACGAGAAAGCGATGCCGGAGTAATCTTTCATCAGCTACGCCTCATCAGTAAAAGTTCAATTAATGCAACTTCACAGTCGAACAAACCGACAGGTCAGTAAAGTTAGATAACTTGACAGGAGGTCAATCGCGAGCTCGAATAGCTCAGTGGTAACATCTATGACTACAGCCGGTACTGGGTGACGCGGCTTAGAATCTCAGGAGGGACATGAGTTCCTTGAAGGCAGTTGCAGATACGTCTTGCTGACTGACTGGTGAGTGGCAACTAGCACGAAACCTAGGTCCTGGCAAGGCTTCTTGCCGATCGCCTCCAACTATCTAATATCATCAAATCAATGTGCACCGTGATGGCAAGCTACTTAGAATGGCGGCCACATTGCAAACCTGACTCACAGAATTCAGTCTGCACCAAAGAAAGGACTAGACACGACACGTAGCACTAGTTACTAGTGTTCAATCAAAATAACTTGACACTGTTTGTTAAACCAAGCGTTGCATAATTAATTACTGTATGTACACATAACAACAAGGATACTAATATACTAAAATGTATTCAAACAAAAATCACCACAATATAGACAAGACTTACTTTAAGCCGAAACATACGATCCAAGACAATAGCCAGTGTTTCAGTGACGAAGCAAACACAGTTTTGTTGAGCTGCACAGTGCTGTTCAAAGAGAAAATAGACCGTATTATACAGCAGTGAATCAATCGACCACAGATGACAGTTAGTCATTTATAGAAAAAAAAATCGATAAACTGTCAAATTGAAACATTCAACCTGCATGTTATATACACTTCAATGAAAAAGATAGCGTATTTTGAACCCCATTCTTTGTGTACAGTTCAAGGTCACAAATAATGGGTGGGAAGATAAAGTCAGGGTGCGGGTAAGAGAGAAAGAATATTGGTTCTAGAATGGACTAACACGGCAAATAATTTTTGGACACCATAAGACAGGTTTAAGCCTCTATATGGCCAAGTACGTGACATAAACTTGTTTTAAATATGGTTTTCAAGACATTATTGATATCAACCTTATGACCTGTCTCTATAATAATGTGCTTCTCTGTAGATGATGTTGGTATTAGATGGTTGGAGGCAATCGGCCACAGGAGGAAGCCTTGGACCTAGGTTTCGTGCTAGTTGGCACTCATCAGCAAGGCGTATCTACAACCTTGAAGGAACTCATGTCCCTTCTGAGATTCGAACCCGCGTCACCCAGTGCTGCAGTCAGAGACGTTACCACTGAGCTATTCAGGCTCGCGACTGACCTCCTGTAGGACTGTATTGGATATTTTGATTGCACACTAGTCAGTGACTAGTGTAATGCGTCTAGTCCTCTCTTTGGTGCAGACTGAATTCTATCAGTCATGTTTGCAATGTGGCCACCATGCCATCTGATGTTGGACTTCTATTTCCGGGATCAATTGTATCCGGTGATTTTATTTGTTGTTACAGCCACTTTGAAATATGTTCTGTTTGTAGCATTATTCCACGCCAGTTCTTGCAGAGGCCCTTCTTTGGTAGCTTGACAAGGTAGACAGTCTTTCTTCCAGTCGGTGGGCACCTTTCCTTGCTTCCAAACCTTTTGCAATAATGGTGTGAGCGTATCTGCTGCAGTCTCTGGATCCGTTTTCAGTGCTTCGGGGTAGGGGGGGGGCGGAATTCCGTCTGGCCCTGCTGCCTTCCCGACTAGCGTTTAGTAGCTTGATTGCATTCAAGATTTCCATCTTTGTTGGCGGGGGTCTGGTGTCCACTGGCAGTTCTGTGTGTGCAGTCGGTGGTATTTCTGGCCGAGTTGCAGATGACGGTCGATTCAAGAGTCCTTTGAAGTAATTAGGTTCCCTCGACCAACATTTATTGGTTTCATCTGTGTTGATGTTCCCCCGGATAGAGAAGTGGTTATCTGGTGAAACGTTCTGAGGTCTCTCTTACCTGAGGCCTGTCTGTTTTGCTTCAGTTGCCAACCAGCATGTCGCAAAATTGTCTTCTGTCGTTCCTAGCGCTCTTCTTTATTTCTTTATTCAGTATGACGTTCATTGACTAATTCTTTATTATTTGTCTTTACTTTTGATGAACTCCAGTTTTAAATGCTTCACTTTACACTGTTATATGATTTTATTTTGAATGAAATCAGGATTACACCGTGGAGTAACACTGTTTGTATGAAAGATATAGATATTTTTTTGATTATAGCTTGATTCCACACCGTATTTTTAGTACAAGCATAGAATTTTCAGCATGTGATATCGGTAGCCCAATTTCGCTGGCCAACCATTGATATCAGGTGTGCGTCGGCAGAGGATCGAACCCCGGACCATGTGCATAGTCGGTGAGAGTCCTAACCGCTGTGCCACCGATTCTTGAAGGTAAAGTTTTATTCCGAATTTGTTGGTGAAATTCTCCGCCTGAATCTCAGATGGTTTATACTGTTTATACTGAAGAAAACTTTTCCGGCAGCAACTCTAAGAGTGATATTCTCTAGCCGCACACTACTTCGAAGCAACGTGAAGGACAGACTTCTGCACATGACCACTTCAATGTGCATATATCAGTTCACCTGCGCTCTTGCGAAGCTGCGTACATAGGTCGTTCTATGCGGGTCTTATCAAAACGTGTTAGAGAAAATCCTCCAGCATGGCTGCAAAAAGAGGAGGCACTGGTTCAATCAGAAGCGCCATAACTGAACACCTCATCAATACCTGTCACAGCATCTCAACTGACTGCTCATTATTCAGAGTCATTGATAAAGTAAACAAAAATCTACCAAAGGCAGTGTGTTTTCGACTTCTTTGTACTGCGGAAGCTCTCGCCATATGCATCGAAATGCTGGAGCTATGTGTTCAAAAGAAACTAGTCTAGCCTTTACAACTACTACTGTGGACCTAGTCTGGTATGTGTTCCCTTATCCTTGAGTAGTGCCACATAGATAACAATAATAATATCGCATCAAACCACCGTCTGACATTGACGAAATGTTACTCTAAACTGTGTGTGTGTTACTCGTAGACGTTTGCGGGAACTCAGTCGATTTCCTGCATTCACACAAATAATAAACTTGAGTTATCGTTATCACAATACAACATTGAACGACTATCTCTCCATATCGAATAGAAAACAAGTGAAAATTCGTAAAAATTAGAAAAAACACAACATAAAATAAGAACGTACCAGTGACTTTTTCTCCATTATTTTACTGATTGGTTCATCCAATGCAGTATCTGGTGTAGAACACATGATAAAATTCTAGGGAAAGATAAAACAAAAATACATTTAAAAAAATATTTTTAATTGGATTTCACTGGTTGTTAATGTCTCATGTAATGGGAATGAAAATCTGGTTAGTTGTCATGGTAAAATCTAGATTGGTTGACCCGAATAAGATAAGAAATCTAGAGGATAGTTCAACTATAGCACTCACTACATGCAATTGCACACAACCATACAATAGGATGGGATAGGATGACAGTTCTAAAATCTAATGTAGCAGGGTGGAGGAAGATGTTGATAACGGAAGCTTTGTTTATCGAATCGACTGCAAGTATGTGTAGAAGGAATGATTCAACACCTGTCCCAGATATCTGGAAAATTCTACTACCCCTACGACGACAAATAGGAGAGAACAAAGAAAACCATAAAACTCAAGTTTTGAAGTCGTGTGATTATAATTGATATGATCATGAATAGTAATAAATTATGTTCGAAACTTCGTCATCCAGTAAATAATACTGTTTCACTGGGTGTGATATATCTAATAAACAAACTAATGTGGAGTATATCGACCACTCATTCACTCACTCACTCACTCACTCGCTCACTCACTCACTCACTCACTCACTCACTCACTCACTGAAATGGAATCCAATAGCAGCCGGTCAGCCGGCCCATGGACCGGTAGGTAATTGGCTCCAGGGGCCCCACTGGTCGCGACCCCTCGTTAGAATTCCGGATACTCCATCCTGTAGTCAATCAGTACTTACATTACTTCATCAATTATGTTTGTTCCATTTAACAGTCTATAAGTTATTCAACTTACACGTCTCTAGGATGTTCACTGTAACAACCTGCTGACCACCTATTTCCTACAAACGGGATCACTATAAATATAGAACTCACTGTGAATAACCCTAAGCATAATTGTCAAGAGTTAGTTCATAAGGATTACTCATTTGTATTTCAAGTTTTCCCGCAGATTGATATCGGTTAGAAAACACCCGAAAACCACCAGGAAGTACTCGACAGAGCTGTTTCATCTTAGTAATCGGGACTCATCGGCAGTACTCACCGATCCACCCACTGGGTTTCGAACCCAGGAACCTTCCGGTTACCAGGGAAAGCTCATAGACCATTCAGTCACAAGGACCCAATCCAATGGGCAACCAACCCATGGATTCTAACTTTTACCAGCTCGTAGTTTCAGTGTAATCCCGGTGGATGTGAGCTGTTGAGGAGTCCAAAATGGGGCGAAACAGCTGTCCAGTACTCACTATTGCTTTCTAGTGATTCTCTAGCTGATATCAATTCGTCATCAAAACTTGAAACAAATCTAATTTGTACAAGCTAACTCTCGAAAAGTTTTCCTCATCGACGAAATCATCTCTTCACAGGCTGTACAGTTGTATTTATTTTTACCGAGAATGTATAGTAGTCCATTATGGAGTAATAGGGGTGGCATAATTATTATAATTACTGAGAAGTGGCTTTAGAAATAAAAAATAAAAGTTATAAATTGCGTAATACCCAAACGCCACAAAGGAAAAAAGTGTTAGAAATGTGATGAAGTTAAAATTGTTATTGAGTGAGAAGAAAGCTAGTTGAATGTCGATTTAACAAGTGTGAAGAGGATGAGGAAATGTACAAAAAAAATATGTGAGAGTAATAATACTGAATTAACTATTAAAAATAAAAAAAATTACAGAGAAGGACTAATGAAGAGGATAAGACCATGGTAGAGCAAAAGACTGGACAAACTTTTTCTGTATACAGAGTTCGGGGTTGTATTGACGAATTGCCAAAGACTCCACCATACACAAATGCCGAAACCTGACTGCCTTTGTACCATTCGGCTCAACCTTGTAGATAATCTTGAAAGAGGACCCCGGTGGAGCTGCGTGACTTGAGTTCACCAAGTACTCGAGAATTGAGCTAGTAACTGCCTTGCAATGTCCTTTTGCTAAACCATGCCGGATAATGTTCAGAGATGCGTTTGGAAAGTGTGCGCTTTGTGCAGCTAATATAACTAGCTCCACAGAAGCAGCAGGTGAATTTATAAACACACATTGAAGTGGCCCATCCATTGATCATTTGTCCACTGTAGAAATTGATCCTTAGCTCAACCGAAAAAAGGCTTTTCTCAGTGACCTGGATACGCGGTCCTTCAGGGTCTGAACAGAGGTATCAACTTTAAATTCAACGTGCATGAATATCAGTTTCTTTGGTACCATCTGAGTTCTTTCGGGTTGTCACTTCACTTTCATGGTTTTTGCTCGATGAGTCTTGAAGGATATCCACTATTTTCAGCGTGGATTACTTGTCGGAGTATCTCCAGTTCACCATAAATTCAAAGTAATTATTTGAATTATGTCAACTCCCTCCGTCCAATTACTCAATAATGGAACATTATACATTTTTGGGGGTAAATATACCATACGACTGCACAGCCTTTGAAAAGATGATTTCGTTGATAGAGGAAAATTTTCTTCACTGAATTGTCTTTTATTTTCTTTTTCAAGAGTTTGGTTTGTGAGGATTAGATGTGTTTTTACGAGTTTGACCACGGATTGATTACATCAGTTAGAGAATCATTGAAAACCAACACTGGAGTACTGGACAGCCAGCTGTACGCAACCACTGGGGTCCAAAACCAGGACCTTCTGGTTACAAGGCAAGCTCGTATAGCATTCAATGGTCAGCCCATGAATTCTAACTCCTACCAATTCGTGATTTGGTGCGACCACCAACCAATGTCATCGGTGGGACATCCATCCTCACACTTGACTCGTTGGACCTCACTGGTCATGACTTCTCACTACAACTGCTGCAGGAAACTCCATCCTGTAGCAAGTCACTAGCGAGCATCAGATTTATTTTCAAGAGTTTCACTACAGAGGATTGGTATCAGTTAGACAGCTCTATTGAAAACCACCAGCGAATACTGGACAGCTGTTTCATCCTAGTTTTTGGGAATCATCAGCAGTACGCACCCATCCACCGCCAGGGTTCGAACCTAGGACCTTACGGTTACAATGGGTATTTTCTTCGGTGTCTTGAAAAGTTGTCATCTGCGCGTTTAATTTATCGAGCTTCATGTAGAAAAGTATTGACGATAACTTTCCCAAATATAGATACACCCGAAGACAGCTCTATTAATAAATTGTTATATCTATGTATTTATACCACCACCCGTGAAAGAATTGTAAAAGAAACAATGATAAATGAAATAACACGAAGACTGAAATTAGTGGGATTTGGGGATATGTTTTGTTGCCAAAATAAATAATAATATAAATCTATATATTTTTATGAGATGAAAAAATATACAACTGATTCTACACATGCACACGCACACGCATACAAATACACACACTATCACCAATACAATGGCATTCATTTAAGCCTGTTTTAATCAACGAACGAACTAAGACAAAAACGGGGACACATAGAATGAAGAATAATTTTAAAACTTGAACAGCTGTTTCATTTCATTTTTATACAACTTGTTAAGCATATAAAAATCTATAATTGTTTATGTAATCCAGTTAAAGAATGCCAGAATCTTGTAATCAGTATGTGTAGACAATCGGTTATAATGACCTGTGCCCTCTTCACTCACTTTACTGATAAAGTTTGGATTAGTCTGACTATCCGGTTGTCGACCAAAGGATGTGTGTACTGTTCAGTGGGAGTTCGCTCTGTCTTTCTTTATGTCTGGCTGTGAAAGAGATATGGTCGTTGAAAGTGGAAGACATGAAAAAACTGGCTACCTAGCTGTCTTTGATAATAGGTGCCTGCGCTCTATCTACATCCCGTATTAAGTGGTATAATAGGGTGAGCAATATTGAGGTTAGGCATCGGTCGAGTTGTAGGTAAGAAGCGAAAATCAATCGACGAGGTTGGTAAGTTACATCAGTTATCGAGATGGTTAGGACATGTGTTACGCGTGCATGCCTAACCATCAATCGCCTTCCTCAACAGACAGCCATTGTTAGCTGGCAGTTATGGGATGGATCAGGTTGGCAAAGAGTTAGCTAATGGTGGTGATGGTCAAACCAAAACATGGTCTCATCACCAGTCAATGAAAACCACAACAGTTAGTTTAACCCGGCCAACCCACCACGTAGGGAGGTGTTAACTGGCTTTCTGATTGGCGTCCTCCGGATGGAGACAATTGTCGGTGATATGGCTCCAAATAGTTCTCAGTGATGGTGTAGATGAATTCACTCTCATATCCATTAAAACTCTATTGTTCTCCCATATTACTATTCTTTTTCCCTCACTCACATTTGTCTTCATTATCTCTCTTTTGATGAATCTCTCTTCACTGTCTTCTCTTGCTTTGTGTGGTGCATAGAGGGAGTGTCGAGAATGGAACTGCTGCATATCTGTGCAAAGTTGTTCTAAGTTGAAACCACTCAGTCAGTCAGTCAGTCAGTCAGTCAGTCAGTCAGTCAGTCAGTCAGTCAGTCAGTCAGTCAGTCAGTCAGTCAGTCAGTCAGTCAGTCAGTCAGTCAGTCAGTCAGTCAGTCAGTCAGTCAATCAGTCAGTCAGTCAGTCAGTCAGTCAGTCAATCAGTCAGTCAGTCAGTCAATCAGTCAGTCAGTCAGTCAGCCAGTGGTTATCATTCACTATCGTTAGTCGACGTGATTCAACTTTTATTTCTAATGGTAGGTTCCTGTAGGAACTTGAAGAAAGCTCATTTTAAAGTCAATAACGGATTGATATATGTTTAATATCACACAAACTGGAACATCTACGCACGTGAAAACCAATAAATTTGACAGAAGAGGTAGGGGAGCGGAGACAAGACTTCAGGTGAACATACAGAAGATAGAGGTGATGAAGCTACTCGACGACCAACGACGACAACAACAAAAACAACTACAAGCATTAATCATCATCATCATCAATGAGAGAAATTCATCGGAAGTCATTACTTCCAATTATTTAGGCTGTATAGTTTTCAAATACAGGCGGAACAGATGAGGAAGTCAAAGCCATGATCGGATCAGAAAAGCAAGACAGACCTTCACTACCATGAATTGAATGTGGAAATCTTCTCCACTAAATATAAGGAACAAGATTCTAATAGTCTTCGACACTACTGTCGAATCAGTGCGTCTTTATGATTCATAGAGACTTGATGCAAGCGTAACCAAAAGCATTCCCCACATAGGCTACTGCAGACTCTCATATCAATAGCTAGTTGTTTTCTATAGCTCAACAGTGAAGGTCAGATGACTGGCTAGAAACGACAAACACCAAGGAAGTCTGATTGCCAACGTAACTAACCAACAACCTACTGTCTAAAAAATATGGAGAATAATATGGAGATGGGCGGAGACCGTCGAGTGTTATCACGCGCCAGGCAGTCTCTTTTGCTGGGCAATGGTCCAAGAGTGACATGGAGGAAATCGTGTGATGGAGAAATGAAAACCGGTAGGGAATGGCTACGACGTGTTGCTGAAGCCCCCTATGTTACTCTCAGAACCCGAGGACGTAAACAATAAGTTGTCTCCAGAAATAACCAATCAAATGGAAAACGAATTTGGTCAGCACATTTATATAAGTTAGCGGATTGTTGAAAAGCAAACGCTGAAGTAATCGCAGAGACATTTCATGGTTCACGACTAACCTCTATAGAGTTTTTACTTCCCGTAAAGTTCTAAATCAGGTAGTGACTCTTGCTTTTCAATATTGCTCTTTTCTCTACCTATCTTATGTTGACTGAGTGTACTGGTACAAGTGTACCCAGCGTTTCCACAAGAACACGCTCACAGAAGGTTTGGAAAGCCATCAGTTGTACGCATCTTCAAATGTTCGATAATTCGAAGTTCAAGTATTGGTTTGTAGAGATTTGATTGATTGGTTACAGGATTTCATCATGAGCTGACATTGGTTAGAGAACCATTGGAAAACCTGAGAGTACTGGACAGCCAGCTGTTTCCTCCGTCCTAGTTTGCGACTCTTCATCGGTACGCACCCACCGGGATTCAAACCCAGGACCTTCTGGTTACAAGGCGAGCTCGTAGACCATTAAGCCACACTAACTTGATCCAATGGCCATGAATTCTAACTTCTGCCAATTCACGACATAGCGCGCCCCCTAGCCAATGTCTTCAGCGAGTATTTGTCCTCACACCCGACCTGCTGTACCCTACTGGTCACGACTTCTCACCAGAACCTACCTGAATAGGGCAATTCGCCAATGAGCATCTCATCGATATTCAAGTGTTGGTTTGGTTCTCTAACCAATGTCAGCTCATGATGAAATCATGTAACCGATTCGAAGTTCGTTTGTGAAGAATATTTATTCATGATTTTTCAATTGTTGGTTTACGGGAATTTGATTGGTTGGAGATTTGATTACAAGGTGATATCATTTAGCGAGCTAATGGAAACCGCTATCAGGAGGTACTGGACAGCTGTTTTGTCCTAGTGTTTAGGACTCTTTAGCGGTATGCACCACAGGCCTTTTGGTTGGTTATAAGGTGAGATCACAGGCCATCCAGCCACTGGGATCCAATCCAGAGGGCCGTAATTTCCAACTCATGTGGAGCCAGGTATGTCGGCCATACCCAGCGTTTGCTTTTCAAACGTATCACCGAACACTTACCAATATGGCTTTACAAAGGAGAAAAACGATGCCCCTGCAGGTCTATCTTAGAACATCTGATAGATTCCGGACACCAAGCTACACCCGAAACAAACTTCAAAGTCGTCTACAGAATTCGAAGCAGTCTCCCTAAAAGTAAACGAATCAGACTTCTTCAAAGTGCAGAAGCAATGGCGATTCACTTGCTAAGTCCTGAACTCTGCATACAGAAGAAGTCCGTTCATCAATCACTACACTTTCAATGGACGTAATCTATCTTAATACCCGACAGGTAAATTCTATTTATTTATTTATGTCTCTTCATTAGTATTATTTTGTCTTTTCAATTGTAATATTTTACATTTTCAACCTTCTTGTTCTCTACCCCCACCCGATTTAATTTCTACACCTCACTAACACTGTTACTGACTTGACCAACGCTCAATTTGTAGTCATTTATGTTACATCATCTAACTTCTTTACTCAATTTCAGTTCTAATTTAAATGGCATTATTCTCTACCCCACCTCGAATTATTCTCTACCTGTAATTACCTCTGTTGCTATTCTGACCTAAGTTGAAACATTTTAGTCAATTATATTACGTCATCTAACTTACTAACTCAATCATGCTTTAGTTGCTGTCTGATTAACCTTGTTTCTATATTAGATCATTCTTGCATTACCTGATTAATTATCTAAACTTGACAAACCCCATGTACACATACACACAGACAAATAATTATATATAAATGCGATTGTACAGCTATGTGAATGAATTTGCCGTCGAAAAGAGTCTCTTCACTGAACGTCTTCTCTTTTTCTATTTGACTCAATGGGGGGATTTTTAAGCTATTTCCAACTTCTGCTGACATAGCGCAATCATCAGTCAGTCATCAGAAAGTAACTATTCTATGACCTCACTTAATCGACCCTGCTGGAAACGACTTCTCACTAGAACTCCAGGTAACCTTCTTTATATAACCAGTCGTCACTGTTGATTATCAGATCAATTTTCAAGTGTTGGATCGAGTTCATCTTGTAACTGGAAGGTCCTGGGTTCGAACCTCTGGTTATGGGTGTGTACTGCTGAAGAGTTCGAAACCTAAAACAAGTTAACTCTGTCATCCATAACTTCAAACCGCACAATTTGCAGCAATCAACCTCTTCCAAGTGCGTCGGTGGCATAGCGGTTAGGACGCTCACCGACCATGCACATGGTCCGCGGTTCGATCCCCGGCCACAGACGCACTCCTTTACCTCGCTAAGCCAGAAATAATGCTGGTGAAGAGGAAAGGTTGGGCATGAGGCTAGCAACCCCATCCTGTAAAATAAACATTGCTACAGAAACCTCAAGCGACTAGCTTGGAGCCCTATGTTCCACTGGGGAACGTGAAGGAAAAAAAACCTCTTCCAAAAGATGGCGCATTTATAATCACATCAACTTACCAATAAATCACCAGGTGAAATTAAACCGATAAAATCAATAGGTCGTAGTTGATCATTATCAACAAAATGTATCACTGGAAGACATGGTAGCTGGGGTAACCAACACATAAACACTTGTAGAGCATCAGAAACACGATCGGTGAGATGTAGAACTGGAACTTCTTTCAGTTGTGTTAAATGATCATTATTCAGTATAGTGGAGGCTTTATTCGGGGATGGTGATAGATACGATGAATACACTTCAGATTTTCCTGGATAACGTTCAGCCCAACGAAGTCCATGAACAGAACCAATAGGCATCTAGAAAAAGAATAAGAATTGAACTGAATAGAAGGGAACAAATTAATTTTTTCTGGATTACAGCTTGATGCCACACCGTATTTTCAGTACAATTATGGAATTTTCAGTATGTGATGTCGGTAGCCCAAATTTTGCAGGCCGACCATAGATATCGGGTGTGCGTCGGCAGGGGATCGAACCCCGGACCATGTGCATGGTCGGCGAGAGTCCTGACCGCTGTGCCACCGACGCACAAATACCAACACATAAGTAATAACTTATTTCTTTAAAGCTTTAGAGCTTTGACAATATGAAAAAAAGATGAAGGCGAAATGCTTTTGAACAGCTTGATAGTATTTTTTTTTATAGGACTCTGAATGAAGTCTCTACTGATGCTGGGTGGCTAAATATACAAGTAGTAAAGTTCTCCAAGGATCCTTGTCGAAAACTATTGAATATGTAGACGTCTGTATAGAAAACCTACTACAACTGGACAATATACTCACTCACTTCCTGAGTTTCGTACCTCTACAATACAAAAGTTATCTGGTTAGATGTCCGCTTCACCGAACTAGAATTATCTGTGCATCAAATGAGACATTGAACGAAGAACTCGATAATATTCGTGATCTACTCAGTAAAAACGGATATCCGACTAGATTTGTGAACAAACATATGAACTCGGCAAGTAAAAAGTTGAACGTGCCGACTGTTCCCAAAAACGCTCAGTATTCCTAAGATTACAATTCACCAGTGATGTCAATAGTGAGATCTTATCACAAAATCTGAGAAGAGACTTCAAAAGAACTCTCAACGCAGCTAAGCTATGCTCTGTATTCACTATCCAACCGATACTTAGTTCAAGAAATAAAGACAGACTGCCCTGTTTCGTCTCTTCCATGTGTATTTAACAGTTTTAACTGCCAGTGCGGAGTTAGTTACATTGGGTGTACAATCAGGCAAGGTCATCGTCGAATTTCTGAACACCTCCCACCTTGGTTTTGCAAAGGTCCGAATAAAGCTGCCATACGCAGTTCAATACTAGCTCATCTCATCGTTACTGACTAGACATCAAGTCGACCCACTCTAACAAAGCTTTTAAAGTTACTTATCTATCGTATATCACCCAACTTCTCGCTGTATGGTCTACGAGTACAGCTTTTCCACAGAGTAGAGGCGATCGCAATTCATCTGAATAAGCCAAATCTGTATGTGTGTTCAAAAGAAATTTGTACAGCCGCTTTCTTTGTCATGACCAACAACATGATATCTATTCAGTTTTTAAAAACAATTTCTTCCCCTTCCCTTTAAATATCTTTCGACTTTGTAAATGTTTACAATTCTAGCTTATTCTGCTAACTTGATGACTGAATTTTGCGTAATTCTTCTGAGTCATCCTTTTCCTTATTAACCATCATTGCTATTTTACAAATTTCTTGACTATGTAATAACTTGTTGCTAACGTCTAAGAACTAACTTATCTTGAATTCCGTAATTAATCAGTTTTCACCCCTTCATGCTTCAAAACCTAGATATCTTGTTACTAAAATCTATTAGTGAATTGTTTTCATGACTTTTAACCTGTTAATTTTATCCCCCATCTGTATACCTAAAACTGATTAGCTAAAATAACCACTTGATTGGTAAAACAAATTTTGATGTAAAAAGTGACTATATATATTAGTGTAGAGCCAGTCAGGCGGTGATGAGGAACTACTAATTGAAAACGGAATGTATATTTCTCCGCTCAATCTGTTGTTTTTTTCTAACTGCGAAATGGGAATTTGGAAATTATTCAAAAAATTTTGATGTGGTTGTGTTCTCTGCGCTGGATAGTTAATTCGTGATGCTTTCATTGCCCTACTAGGCGAAATCTTCAGCGCATACTTCAATTTGAAGTTATTTGCTGCAGCTCTACTCTCTCCCTCCCCCACCTTCTACCATATACGCTAGTGTTCACCGAAACAACAAGGAACAAGATCCCCGTGTGTGTTGCCAGATTTAATGTGTATTTACCAGCTTGATATACTGTTGTTGTAGATTTAGGCATATAAGGCATAGGCCATACATCAACAAGACACTCATTTTTCAGATGTGCGAATGAACACATCTACCAATGTGGTGCGTGCTACTGACAAGATTTATCAGTAGTATATAGCTACAGATTGATAGAGAAGCAGGTAAAATAGAAATTAGCATTTTAAGTCAATGACTGAAGCAGAGGTAGAAGTGTGCATTCCTCAAATCTGAATTTAGTTTACGTTGTGGTCAGGAAATAATCTCATTGGGCATCGTTTCACTCCAAGGTTTAACCTTCAGCAAATCGACACAAACAATCAAAACAGTTTATTGTCCACTGACCTAGACCTTGAATATTCGTCCAATCACATCACTTGTCGCCCAGTTTCACATTTCCCGGTCGATGCATTCCTGAGACTCGTTTAGCCTAGTGAAGAGAAAACGGTGGGCGTGAGAGGTTGGCAACCCCACCCCATAAAACGAATCAACACCATTACTACTGGAAATCCAAAACTCAAGCATGAAGTCCTATTTTCCCTTCGGAATGCAAGTGTAATGAATACACACACGCAACTTATTATTATTATTTCTTGTCTTCGGCATTAAATTCTCTCAGTTTATAGTCAAAAACAAAAATTTCCAAATATTGGTTTTGTAGGGATCTTTTTGTTTGATTAGTTGTAGGATTTCGTCATGAACTGACATCAGTTAGAGAACCATTGGAAAACCAGATGGGAGTACTGGACAGCCAGCTGTTTCCACTATCCTAGTTTGGGACTCTTCATCGGTACGCACCCACCTCATTGGGGTTCAAACCCAGGATCTTCTGATTATAAGGTGAGCTAGTTCGTAGACCATTAAACCACTGGGACCCGATCCAATGGCCAGTCCATAAATTCTAACTTCCTGCCAATTCATGACACATAGAGCGACCACTTCACAGAGTCCCAAACTAGGACAAAACAGCTGGCTGTCCAGTATTCCCTGTAGGTTTTCCAATGGTTCTCTAACTGATGTCAGTTCATAATGAAATCCTCCAAACAAACAAAATAGCCCAAATTCAACTATATCGCACACACACACACACACACACGAGCAAACAAAGTCAAAACTTACAATCATTCTTCCTGTACTCGGTAGTTCATCTACACGTAGACGTAAATACGCCAGTAGACGATCAGATCCTAATAAACCAAGTGCATTTCCACTATGATTATCAATAACAAGTAAGTAGGACAGTAGAGATGTGTACAAAGACGATGGATTCGAATGAGCACAACACTTTGACGATACTCTTTGAATATTATCACTGGATGATGATGATGGATCTTCCACTTTATTACGATCTGTTGAATTTGTCGGTGGAGTAGTCCCCGCCGTCGCTGCCACAGCCACTGCCGACTGTTGATGAAAAGGTGAATTCAGCTTCACTAGTGGTGGTGGTGACGATGCAGAATCATTTCCACCTTCAGAGATACTAACTGCTGATGAGGAATGATTTGAATGATTCGACGGGAAAAAGGTAGATGACTGGCGAGCAAATCTACCACCACCACCACCACCACCACCACCACCGACTGTTTCTTCCAAAAATGCTTTAGGTGAATTATTCGGATATGAAGCACGATGACCACTCGCGTTGGATAATTTGAATTTCAACAGGGTTTGATGCTGACGATTATTATACTGATTAGCCTTATTTGCATTATGTTGTTCAGGATGATGGAATAAACGATACAGAGCTTTTTGTAGACAATATTGTGGATGAACAAATAAATCTGTAAGTTGTCGACCATCCGACAGACCATACATTAAATCTAAAATTGTGAATATAGAAATATGATTAGGTGTTATATAGTGATAATAATCAAATAGTATGAGTAGATGTAACAGCAATATAAATTTTCTATAGTTTGGTTTGTAAGAGTTAGTTATGCTTTTACGAGTTGATCACGGATTGATATCAGTTAGAGAACCATTGAAAACCAGCACCGGAGTACTGGGCAGGCAGCTGTTTCATCCTAGTTTGGGAATCATCGCCAGTACGCACCCACCACCAGGGTTCGAACCCAGAACCTTCCGGTTACAAGGCAAGCTCGTGTACCATTCAGCCACTGGGACCCAATTCAATGGCCAGCCCTTGAATTTTAACTTCTAGCAATTCGTGATTTAGCGCGACCCCAATCAGTGTCGTCGGTGGGACATCCATCCTCACACTTGACTGGATGGACCTCACTGGTCACGACTTCTCACTAGAACTTCAGGAAACTTCATCCTGTAGCAAGTCACTAGCGAGCATCAGACTAATTTTCTGTAGTTTGGTTTGTAAGGGTTAATTATGTTTTTACAACACTGGGTGGGGTTGCACTAAATGTATCACGAATTGGTAGAAGTTAGAATTCATCAGCCATTGAATCAGGTCCCAGTGATTGAATGGTATACGAGCTTGCCTTGTAACCGGAAGGTCCTGGGTTCGAATCCCAGTGGGTGGGTGCGTACTGCCAATGGTTCCCAAAAACTAGGATGAAACAGCTGTCTGTCCAAAACTCCCTGGTTTTCAATGGTTCTCTAACTGATATCACTCCGTGATCCACTCGTTAAAAGCAATATAAATGTTAAACAATAACTTTACTTTGAATTAAACTAACTGTTTTGGATTTCATTGACTGATGAAGCCATGTTTTGGTTTGACCATCACCACCACTAGCTAACTCCTTTCCATCATGATCCATCCTATTTCAGTCAAACTGACATTGCCCGTCGGTCGAGGAAGGTGATCGACGTTTGTATTCCCCCCCTACTTATAACCTTGGAACCGTATTGGTTGTTCACTGTTTTCACTTGTCAGTATAATTAGTGCCTTTCAAGGCCACTTAAATCATATACATACGCAACTGGTGTCAACTCTTCGCTGTATATTCGAGGTAGTAAAAACTCTTTACGTCAACGGTCTGTCTTCTTGCTTCTGCAAGTTCACTGGTGTCACGTCATACCTTGTCATTGGTGTTGCTAATAATGATTAGAACAGTAAGGCTCGGGAATCGACTAGGTAGGAAGTTCGTTAAGGCACGACAGATTGAACTGCTATGTCCTTCTGGGCAAAAATTTCTCTGTTGAAACTCCGCTGATATAACCTGCTTAATTACAACGTCGCCCAACATTAGTTAACATCGCAGCGTACCAGAATTTCTTTTTACGAAGGTGTGACCACTATTCATACTGTCTCTCAATGTAAACAATTCACTCAGATTTGAAACAGCTAAAATAAACAACGAGGAAACCCATTCATTCACTGTTTGATTTTGTAGACAGGATTATCATCCAAGGAAAATAAACACTTAACAAAAATATCCCCCTTGAAAAAAATCATAATATTAATCAAAAACTTACTTAGAACATCACCCAACTGTTTTGATCCCCATCTAAAAAGACTTGCATTGAATGAAGACAATGTCGGTGAGGTAGGCGAACTGGGTGTTGCAGATGATGACGACTGACCGTCAACAATCCCATCACTAGTATTCACCTCTGAATAGTGCAGATGTCCTAACATATCCAGAGCTAATTCTTGTGAAAAAACACCTAAATAGGATTGTGTTTCAGAACACCAAACTGGTGCAGCTATCACTCCATTGTCAAGAAGAGCGGAAATTGCGCGTAAAGTCTAAAATTCCGAAATGAACAACAACAACAGCAAATTAATAATAATTTCATTGGATTAGGAAGAAGTACCGTGTGTCGGTGGCGGTTGGGACGCTCGCCGACCCTGTACATGGTCTGGGGTTCGATCCCCAGCCACCGACACACTGTTTATTAGATATTTCTGTTTCCTGTCTTCCCCTCCCCCCACTCATTTTCTATTTTGAGAGCATATAAACTGATGGTAACTTAAACTAAAACCAGTTGTAATGAATGTATTTCGGATGTGTTGATTTTATAATATTTTCTCTACTACTATTCAAACATTGAAGTATGTTGTTGTTAGTATTTACAAGCATTGTAATTTCAGATAGTTGTGTGCAGCTGATGAAAAGGACCTGTGAAATCTAATGATGAAATCAGTTTATACTGCAGATCTTGTCTTTCGTGCTTTATCGAAATTATCTCTCAAAGGGACCATGTATATGAAGAATACTCTCCACTGAAACTGACTTTAAACTGATAAATGGGTTGAATATCTTGATCCGGAGAAAAAATTGATCTTGGCATACCGAACTACTGCTAGTGAATTAATAAGTGGTTAAAAATGAAAATCTGCATCGTGCGGACGAACTCGAAAGTAAGAAGCCTCCAACGAATTACTACTGTAATTCTTATTCATCATATAATTCCATTGGGTTCTGAGTGGAACATGAAACTGGCTTCAACAGCACATCTGTCCATTTCATCCTGTTCCATGAAGTCTTTTTTTACTGGCTGGTTCCACGATTGAACATGAGGTTTCATCTCCCCACTCCCACTCACACGATCTCTTCTTTGTTACCTTCCAACTCACGACTGACTGATGACCTTGACGCGCTTTTCGACTACTACGTTACATTTACATAGTTAACTAAAACTCCTATTTTTGTGGAATATCTTGCCAAAAAGTTGCAAAAAACTATTGCAATTATTTGCCTTTGAAACACTGAATCTTTGGATATAATATTGTTGATCGATAATACCTATAACTATCTATTTGCCACTCTGTGCTTGTTTAACACTAACTAATACCTATAATTGTATATATTGATGGATTTACATGTTCAAGTTGGCTCAAGTCAGTGAGTCTATGATTTTGGTATCATTTTGGTTAACTGTACTTGACTGTGATATTATTATTGTTGTTACTCTTCTTGTTGTGAATTATTTTCCTGTGCTGGTGTTGTTCTGATTGTTTTATTCCTTGTTTTCCTGGTTTTAAGGGAGCAGCCCACAAGGTTGCTTCTCTCTAAATTTTAATTTAATGTAACAATCCCCCTTCCCAGGCACCCCCACCCTGTAAACAGACCTGCTACAGAAACTTCAGTACGATGAATCTCCTTGCGCCATCATTTCTCACTCGGGTTCTATTCATGAAGGCGTCTGGTACGCAATGTCACTACTCAACAGTCTCTCCAGTGTGTATCCAATTTATCTTCATTTCCTTCAAATGTGTTTGACAACAGGTTCTTCACTGATTCGTTAACTGAGTTTCTTGTTGCTAAGCCATTCATCAAGCCATTTGATCTTGAATATCGAGTCAGAGAAGGGCGATAATGAAAAACGTCTACAGTAGCCTGGCATCCACTTGACATCAATGTTGAAAGTCCAAGTCTTTTTTCTGTATATTGAGTGTAGCAGATTTGCTCACTGGCCTCGGAGTACTGAAAGACCATCCTGTTTTTTCCAATCCCTGCTGGTACTGATGTCCTCATGTGCATGAAACCTTATGAACACTAACCAGGCCATCATCATCAGCATCGTATTTCACTGGAATTATTATAGGTAATTCTGCAGATGTTACATGAGCAAATGATACACACACACAATAAAAAAATAAACACTTACGGGTAGACGTGAATCGACGATAACCAATTTTCCACTATCTGGTAGAACATCATAACATGTACTATGACGAAACAATGTTGTATAGACACGATTCTCATCTGAAGACAGAGAGAGGGAGACAAAAAACAACAACACGAATAACAATAGCAATAAATAAACAAGGATTATTGAAGTTCAAATGTTGGTTTCTGTCTGTCTGGATTCAACATAGAACTTGGCACCGAAGTGCACCAGTTCGAGTTGACACGTTCCAAATAGCACACAAAGGTAGACAAGAAAATGAGTGAAGAGAATCAATAGAGTTTTGACAAGTATAAGAGTGAAACAGAATGAGTAATGGTAGAAAGGAAAATGAAAGATTACAGAGACTGAATACATCTGTGTAAGCCATTGACAACGATTTTGAGCCATGTCACCTATTGTCTCCAGCCATTGATTCTTAGAGTCCCGAGGGTGGGCCCCAACCCGGAAGTCTGCATCTTCCTACCTGACTCAGTTTAACTGTCAAGGATTTCATGGATTGATGGATGCCATGTTTCTGTTTGGCCACCACTTACTCTTTTCCAACCTGCACCTATATCAGCTAGTAATGCCCGTTGGGAGAGGCGATGGTTAGGCATGCGCAGTACGTGACCTAGCCATCTCATTCTATGTAACTTTATAGCCTCGTCGATTGATTTCCCCCTTTTGCCTAACACTCTACGCCTAACGTCAACATTACTTACCTTATTATACCACCTAACGTGAGAAAGAGATCGTAGACATCTGTGATCAAAAACAGTCAACCTTTCCATGTCTCCAACTCTTATTGGCCATGTTTCAGAGGCATAGAGAAAGATGGAGCGAACTGTTGAGCAGTACACACGTCCCTTGGTTGATAGCCGGATGTCACGCCTACGCCAGAGATGGTGTAAGTTAGCGAAAGCAGCTCGAGCTTTTCAGATTGTGAGGGCGATTGTTACTTCCCGGTTGCCCACACCGTGGAAATTGTTTGCGTGACCGCAGAGCCCAGGGGACAACTGCTTGAGGCCGATCACACGCGGCCTGTTTTTGTTTGTTCTTCTTTATTTGGTGTGTCTCAGTAGCATATTTATCACTTCTGCCCTGTGACACGGTAGCAGGAAGCGCGGTCGTTGTTAATCCGGGCCCCGACCGATCCGGCATGATATTTTTTGATTTACTTTGAGTCATAGCATTGGATTGGGTAGCTGCTTTTTGTCTTACCACTATCCAAACAACCTTTCTGGCATGGTAGGACCTCAAGTGATATAAGTCTCAACCAGTATAGCTTGTTGGGTCATTGGGGTGTTCAAACTCGGCCACCACGTCATGGTAGCAGCTTTCAGTCGGGCAAATGTTGGTTTACAAGGGATTTGATTGGTTTCAGGATTTCATCATGAACTGACATTGGTTAGAAAACCATTGAAAACTACCACGGTGTAATGGACAACTGTTTCGCCTTAGTTTGAAACTCTTCATCAGTATGCAATGGTTCATGGACAATTGGATCGGATCCCAGTGACTTAATGATCTACGAAGTCGCTGGCCTCGTAACCAGAAGGTCCTGGGTTCGAACCCTGCTGGTGAGTGCGTACTGATGAAGCCTTCCAAACTAGGCTGACGCAACAGATGCCTAGTACTTCCAGGTAGTTTTCCAATGGTCCTCAAACCAATTAGTGAAGTGTTTAAGTGTGGTAAAGCAAAATAGTAACAAAGAAAAATCTAAGTCAGTAAGAACTAAGATATATAATAAGAGAAGCCTTAACACTTAATAATTACCCTGATAAAATAATCAGAAGGTAGGTAGGAAATTATCGGAATAATGATAATAAGGATAAATATGAATGACAAACAATCACAGAAAGATGAAAACACCAACAATAGGGGGATTTAAAACATGAGTATTGCTTCCACATAAAGAAGGAACTTCTGAAATCTTAATTAGGATTCTTAACAAGCCAGGGACAAAAGTAGCATTCAAACTGATTGACTCACTTAGAAATAAATTATATCGGTTGTAAAGGATCCTGTGGAACCCATTAAATAAATTAATTTAGTTTATCTAATACCCTGTGCAATGAGTGTCAGGTCAAGGTAGTAGAAAGGGGTTAGTTAGACTAGCGGATCACCAGAAACCTAACAATATCTGGATTAGTAAACCTCAACGAGATAGGAAATCCAGAAAATAGCTTAGCTATATCACTACATGTAATTAACACACAACCATACAATAGGAGTGGATAAGATGACAGTCTTAAAATCTAATGTAACAGACTAGAGGGAGAAATTGGTGACCGAAGCTTTATTCATCGAATCAACTGACAGGGAATACATGTAGCAGGAATGATTCAACACCTGTCCACCTGGATATTCGAAAAATTCTGCCACCTCTACAACAAGCGAAAAAGTGATTGATAGAATTAAGTCTGCACCGAAGATAGGACTAGACACATTACACTAGTTACTGACTAGTGTGCAATCAAAAATATCCAATACAGTCCTACAGGAGGTCAGTCGCGAGCCTGAATAGCCCAGTGGTAACGTCTCTGACTGCAGCCGGCACTGGGTGACGTGGGTTCGAATCTCAGAAGGGACATGAGTTCCTTCGGTGTTGCAGATACGCCTTGCTGACTGTTGAGTGCCAACTAGCACGAAACCTAGGTTCAAGGCTTCCTGTGGCCGATCGCCTCCAACCATCTAATATCACTATTTACGCGTAGAAGCCAATTTCCCATTCGATTGTATAATTTAAAAAAAAATGCGATGCAGTTCAATTTCCCACTGCACAAGTTTCTCCTGGTGTTACACGATTTGAGGTCATTGACTGGAAGCCCTGAATATAGGTTTGGTATTGATTGACAGTCGCAAAAAACATTGCGTTTATGTAACCTCTGAGGTACTTGTATTCCCCCTGTTGTTCGAATCTAGGTCACTTTAATCTGTATTTGGAGACTTTTCCACTGTACTACTCCTGTTCACCACTGATATGTTGTTGGAACTTAAGTGAATCTATTGTCTGGTCACTAGGATGTACATAGTGTCATGTATTCCGCTCATAATGTTAAAGACTAACTAAATCTCACCAGTGAAGATTGGTGAGGGCTTGTAATACACGTATAATTAGTCACACTAAACCAGGTGTGATGTGGTGATCGAACTGTGAATCCATTTAATCTAAGGTCAAGCCTTTATGCACGAAATAATCAAGCACTTGTCGCATTTTCCTACTATCTATTCACACAAACATACAATCGTATCTTCCTAATTTAGAATCAAGTAGCTGGCATGTCATTATTTAACATCCAGGACCGAGTTTTGTTTGATTTAAGTCAATTAATACGACATGTGTCGTAGTCAAAGAGGTCGTCCTCCTCTGAGATAGTTACCAACATGCACACCTACCTATTCTAAGTGAAATTGTCTATCTTATCGATTGGTCCTTGAATAAAAACCTCGTCTGTAGCATAATATGAAATTATGCTTCCACAAGACATGCAGATCAAAGGATGTTTACATTTCAAATCCCTTATCGAAATTGTCCCGCATTCTGGAGTAACATGTATATGCAGAAAGGGCTTAGTTTGTATTCTTGTATTTATTTATTATTATTTTCTTTAATTTCTCCATTGCGTTCGGCTCTCTGCTAAGATTTTTCACCTGGCTCCAAGTCTGCCCACATGCTTTCATCTCCTCTTCACATGACCTCCTCCAAGTCACCCTTGCACTGACGACCAACTCGCCGCTTCCCATTCGGTCGGGTTCCACTCGAGCAATGGCTTGTCTAGTGATGTCACTTGATGGTTTCCTCAGAGTAAAGTCAATCCATCTCCATTTCTTCCTGCCTATTTGTTTCACAATCGGTTCCTGCTGTGTTGGTTCGCTCATTGTCAGAGATCTCTGTTGCTGATCATTTCTGGCCGGCCATCTGATCTTGAGTGGTATTGAGCGAAGACAACTGTTAATGAAGGTCTGTAGTTAGTTTGAGATGCTCTTTATGACGCGCAGTGCAAGTCTCTGATCCGTATAACACGTAGGACTGACTTCACATTGGAGTTGAAAATCCGGATCTTATTTTCGATGCTGAACTAGTGCTGTTGACCTCCACACAGACTTGGGAGTAGTGAAAGCTTGTCTTGCTTTTCCGATTCTTGCTTTGATATCCTCGTCAGTTCCGCCTGTAGTTGAAACGATGCTTCCCAGGTAGGTGGATGAAGAGGTTGTTTCTTTCAGGTTCCTTCCATTTATGCTGATTGTTGTCTGTTGTTGTTGTTGCTGTGGCTGTCACTGTTGGCCAGGAATCTTCATCACCTATATCTGTTTTCTCTATGTTCACCTGGAGTCCTATCTTTGATGCTTCTTCTATAGCCAACTTGTTGATTTTCGCTTGCATATCTTCCAGTTTGTGGGAAATCAGACATATATCATCGGCGAAATCCAGATCCTCCAAGTTTTTTGTGTGGGTCCATTTTATGCCTGTTTCCTCGTTGCCCACCGCTGTTTGTCGCATTATCCAGTCTACCGCCCACAATCAGGAAAATCATTGGTGCAAATCATTGTATTTAACGCACGCTTAATGATAAACAGGCATATATTGGTGTGCGTGTCTGTGTAAGCTTTCGCATACAGTTTTATTCACAGTAGAGTCGTCAGTATATACAAAATCCCAGTCATTATACACTGACAACAAATAAATAAACTGTCCAGCAGCTGCTCAGAGAACACAACCACATCAAAATCATCCACCACCTCTAAAAGCTACATAAATCTTCTCCATCACATCAGTAATCGTTTTAAGTGATGTTTTGTAAACATTTTTATATTGAAGTAGAACACATTCATCTTATATACGTGATTCTCTCTTTATATTCATGTTATTTTATTTTTTATTTTTTTCTCAAAATTCTTTTGAGTTCCCAATGGAGCAATAAGTTTTTGTTGAGTCACAATTTGTTTTTGATTGATTACAGCTCCCTGGAACTTAATTCAGTATTCCTTTTTTCAATTTCCTTTAATGTTTATTGACGTAATCATATTCCTTTCACTTATCATCTGTTTTGACTGTCACTCTGTCCCTTGGAACATTCCCTCAAAACATTAT